CCTACTCCCTTAATCACTTTTGAATTTTTTTCAGAATTTTTTTTGTATTTGTTTTCGTTTATAAAATTCAATATCATATTATTATTTTTTTAATCTTGATTTACTATTTTTCTTAAATAAAAAAATTATATTTTTTATATATAAAACAACCTTAGAAGAAATATAGTTTTCAAGAAGTTCCCAAAAAATATCATAGTATGATGTGTTCTCTCTTCTTTTTGTTTTGTTAAAACACATTAAAAATTATAATTAGTATAAGGGTAACCTACTAGTGGATGGTTTCACTTCAACGAGATGCATTAATCTCCCATATATTTTTTTTATTTTTACTTTTTTTTAATTGTTTTTTGTTATTATATTTTTACCTTGATAATTTTGTTTCTCTGATTTTTTTTATACTTAATGATAATTTTTTAATCTAACAAAATTGATAAAATGATTAAATATATAATTTCTTCTATATAAAGTCAATGTTTAGTAAATTTTTTATAAAATACCTGAAAGAAAAAGTTTTGTAATTTATAATAATTTTATTTGATTTTAGCACCATTATTCTCTTTCTCTTTATTTATTTATTTATATTTATATATATTATAAAGTTATCAATACCAAATTAATAATAAATAATCTTATTTTATGGTACCAGTCATCTTATTTATTAACTACTTAGTGAATAATTAAAGATACAATAATTTTTTTTATTACAATATTATATCAATATTTGAGTTATAGTGGTATTAATCACTATTAATCTCATTTAAATTTTATATTATGTATTTTGGATATAGAAGCCCATAGTTACACAAGATCCCAAGTAAAAATTCAAGTATAGATTACAAAGTAGTGGTCATTTATGATATGTTGAGATAAAAGAATTTCAATAAATTTTGTAAAAAAATAATTCAATCCAGTTCATGCTTGTATTTATTTTAATAAGTTGATATATGTAGCATTTAATGTTAATAATCAAGGGTATGTAATATATACCTTCTTCTTCTTTTTTCTCTCCTTCAAGATTAACTCCAAGACTAATTATGTTAGGATGGAATAAAAATGGCCCACTTAATTGAGTAGATTATGCCACCACTCCCAAATTAAACTCCTTATGATACACAAAGATGATTATTGATATAGTAAAGTTTGATAAGGGATTTACGCACCCTTATAACATTTGTTTTAACATTGTCAAGATAATGATGACAATTTCATTATTGAAAATTGACTCTGGTTGGCACAAAGATATTATGAAAGTGGAAGAGTTGGATAAGACTTTAAGCTTGGGTTTGGATTGGGGTAGGGATTGGAGAGAATGAATTTGAATGGATTTGTGTGATTATTTGGATTGAGGGAAATATTGTAAATTTGGAAAGATTTGAGTGGATTTATTATAGTCGATGGGATTAAATATATAATAATTGAATAATAATAATATTTGTAGTGTAATAATCAAATTATCCTTTGAAGTGGAATAGATAAATTAAGTATAAATTAGAAGATGAGGAAGACATTGAAAACCTTGCAACCTTCATTTAGCTTTGGTGAATGTTGAAATACTACACGTTCACATGTTCTTCTTCACTTTACAAAGTGTACTTGGTCTTTATCACATACTGCTTATTGCACTGATGTGGATCATGTAGGCAACTCGGGATTTTCATACAAATGAGAAAAGTTAATGAGAGCAATTCATACATTTATTACTCAACCACCCACTTTTCACTATTTCAGGGTGAGTTTGTGAGGGTGTGAGATATATCTCTCCATCATCCCAAATCCACTCAAATCAGCGTAAGTAAATCAACAAATATCTCCACAAATCCCCTTTTCAAATCCTCTACTACAAAAAAAACAGTAGAAGCAAACAAAGCATAAAGGAGTTGGATAATCAAACCATCCAACTCCATTATCAGTTGGTTGATCAATAATTTGTTATTTCTTTGGAGACTAAAATAAAATGAAACTCTTTTTGAAAAGGTTGTGGAGGCTAATGAGTTAAAGGAGCACCAAGAAAATATTGAGAATAAGGATAAAGATATCTTGAAAAGGAACATTGATTTAAGAGTCACTTGAACGAGGACGAAGAGAAGAAGAAAGTGTTTGATTGAAGAAGAGGTGAAGAAGTCTAATGTTGAACTTTTTTAGGCTAAAAATGATTTCTTTAAGGTATATGGGGATGATTAAAAAAAAAATAAGAGGTAGGACCTTCAATATAAAGAAAAAAAAAACGTGATGAATAATTAGTATATAGATAATCCTTTAAAATGCACTTACTATAATGTACAACCTTTTATTTTAATTAACTATAAAAAATTTCTATATTTTACCACCAATTACTAGAAAGAAAAGTTAATGGGACCACTATAATATATTTTTTAAGAAAAAAGCTTTATTATATATATATATATATATATATATATATATAATTCTAAAAGTGAAACAAAAAATTTTAGGGGTGGTTAATGAAATCCCATGCCACCTCCTAGTTCTACGCCTTTTACACTTTACTTACTACATTTTACATAACAACATTACTCAAACTTTAAATAATTTTGTTGATACGATATCACACATATTATAACACTTTGGATAATATAATTGACACTTTTATTGGTGATGACTATGTTATAATAATCTCAATTATAGTAAGTATATTACATACTTATCTATCTTTATTTAATACATTTTTACATACAAATTATTTATCTATCTCATCAAGTTATACTATAACATATAACTTTCACCTATCTTAAATCTATCTCAACAAGTTCTCAATAACGTTTTAGTACAACGTATAACTTTCCCATCTCTTAAATTTAATTTCTCATTCATCAACGATCTAAAACATACCGACATACAAATCAAAGCATTTCAACTTAAATATCAAATTCAAATTCAAACACTCAAATCTAATAAATCTTATGTAATAATTTTACTCAATCATACACTTAGTCCAATTCATATTCAATTTAACTCACACTCTTTATAAATCAATTTTCAACCTAGCATTCCAAAAATTCAAATATTTTAACCTAATGTAAAATCCAGGTACCCATTAATTTTCCTAACCTTAAATTTCTTGCTCTCCAAAAAATCAAAAATAAAAAACCAAACCATAAAAGAAACCATGATTCTATAATATACAGACAGAACATAAGATTACTAATATAGATTATTAAAAATTTATCTTCCACAGACCATATGTGGACCCACACTCCACATGCAAAGAGAGAGAAAAGAAAATACAATAAAACTTTCTAAAATAATTTTTTGATCATGTAATATTAACTTGATAGAAATTGCTTTTTACTCCCGTGTTTTGATAAAATAAAAATAAAAAATAAGTTAAAAAGTTTAGAGAGAAAATATAAAGAAATTTATAAAATTTTAAAAATATATTTTTTAAAATATAAAAATGAAATAATTTATGTATCTATTTATATCCTTTTAAAATTTAACTTAGTTATATAAAATTTAACTTAACTATATAAAATTTTAATTAATTATACGTTGTTTTGACTTATACGGTTTATATATCTCTTTTTATTAATTGTTATAAATTTATCAACTTCATTGATATTGAAGTTATTTCATATATTTATTAGTATCATTTGGTTTAAGAATCGAAATTAAAAATAATTTAAATAAGTATTTTTTTCCTTAACTTTATAAAATATTTTTTATAGACAAAATCATGAGATCTCCTAAGAATATTTTAAACATAAAAATTAATCTTATAAATGTTATTACATGACTATGTGCCATTTGAATATGGATAACAATAACTTTTATAGATAAATGAAAATCAACTCCAATAACTAATATTTTCTAAAAAAATGATAAATATACAAAACAAATTAGATGGATAAATCCTATAGCACAAAATACAAACAATAAATTCCAATATCATTCAATATTTTAATATATAAATCTAATTATTGTTAACCGTTGAACCATATGAACCAATGGTCCACCATAACCTCACTCTTAAAGCAAATAATTTGAAATACAAAATGTTTAATTGGAACAGTTAACATTAATTTGTGAAAGAACGTACCATTGTGTTGTGATTTCCATCAAATCATTTATTATATTTTAAATTTAAAATTAATATTTAGTCTAAAAAATGTCACCCTTCCACGTTTCCAATTCGTGTATCCCTTGTTCAGAACAAATCTATAGCATCAATTGTTAGAAAATATCTTTGTTTCATTTTCTTCATTACTCTTATGTATACATGTTAATTAATAACTAGTTGCATTTGTTTTTCATGATTTTTTTCCATGAAAAATGATAACATATCAATGTTATTTTGTAAAAATTAATAATAAATGACGTTATTTCTTTTAATTTTTTTACATGTCATTATTCGATCAAAAATTGGTTGTTAAAATGTACAAACTTTGAAAATTTCAATGATAAAATTAAAAAAAGAAAAAGAGAAAAACTTAAGCGATAAAACTGTATAATAATAATAATAATAACGATGGATAGTAAAATATGATGGAGTTAAAACTATACTTTTCAAACATATATGAAAATGTATGAATGTATATAGTAAATAATATATGTTTGATTTCAATCATTTACCAAACCATATCATATAACAATAATTACAATGTTGGGAGCAATAATTTTCGAATAGAAGAAAAGTATCAAATACTCACTCGTAGCAAAAAGGGTAAAAGCTATTAGATTTATGTCTCTAAATATTTATTAGAGTGTAGAAATAAATAAGTTGGTTAAAAAAGAAAAGTTGTATAATATGTAATATATTTTTTCCTTTTATGCATAAAGAAGCATTGGAACTTGCCTTGTGGATATTAATGATTCTAGACAGAAGGTATGATCGAATGTTAACTGGCATTTGGAATAAAATATTGAAAGATGGAAAAGAAAGGATGAACACATAACTTTACAAACCCTAAATATTATAATCTCATGAATCGTAGTTCCCAAAAAAAAAAAAATGATGCCATGTGGCGCAAAAGTCAGCGTGCCACATGGCAGTTGTTGAGTTGATGTGGTTCCAAGCCAAACAAGCCACACTCACATGGGAATGGTTATTTTGACAGAGTTCAAGAACCAGACACACCACAAGAGAATATGGCTTAGTTGTTCATTTGCATTAAAAAAATACCATAATGTGTGTGTTATAGTGTTTTTTTTTTTTTCTTTTTTTATTATTATTCCTTGTAACTTTTTTTATAATCTCCAACACACCCATGCCCTCCAACTATTCTTCTTCTTGTTATTTTAATTTTGAAAAGGAAGTGATTTTAATATTTGGGTTTTCTCTTCTTTATCTTTTCTGTCTCTTTATTGGTTAATTAATTTACTCTTGTTTTTGGAAAACATTAAAATATTACCACAAAGCTTCGTGTGCAACAAAAACAACACGGAACATGATTAGAAAGTGGACATTATAGTTTCATCCTCTGAAACTTTTGTTTTATATCTCAGAAAATAACTTTAACAGCATCATGTGTTATGTTATATAATGATATCTACACTCATCATCCATATCAATTATATCGTAAATAGTTTTTATTATTTTATTTAAGTAGATTACAAAAGTTACTATATAAAAAATTAACCTTGCATAATGTTAATTACAAACATAACTATTGTTCTCATCGTCGTCCCAAAATTAAATGTGCATATAACAAATTTAGTTGTTTTAGTCACCATTTCTTGATTATTTAAATTAGTATTTGTTTTATAAGGTTTGATTGTAATTTTAGTTTTTATATTTTATAAAATTTGAATTTTTTTTCTCTTTTTTTTCACAATTTTAATTTCTGAATTTTTATTATCAAAATTCTTTTATATAATATAAGTCTCTTAATCATATTTTCAATCATGCATTTGTTGTCATCTTATCAATTCAAAATACTATAAATATCGTATATATTTTTACTTAATTCCAATATGACATGTTAAAAATAAAATAAAAACACATTGCTCTAAATTTAATAAAAATTTATGTAATTGAAAAAAAACAAAGGATAAGAATTGAATAGTTAGTTACTAACTAAATTGAAATTAGGAAAAGAATTACCAAAGAAATTCTGCAACTTCTTGTTCCTACTCATTGTTGAATCAAATTTACTTGAAACAAGCTTAAAAATGGAATATTTTTTTGGTTGCTTCACGGGTTCATATGCAAACCTTAAAGTAATACCCACCATTGACATGCACATATTATTTGTTTAACCAACAAAAACTGCTGATGAAGAAACACATGCAGAGTGACACTTGGCATGGTAAAACACCATGACCAAACAAACAAAGTACTACGTTAACCTCTGATTGAACATGTAAGATTAATAAAAGTGGATCAGAGATAGTCTTAATTTATAGCATTTAGAACTCAGAATCTGTGCAACCGCACCGTTTGGTCCCTTCTTTTGGGTCTCAATACATGCATTGCATCTCATCACAAAGTAAAATAGTAAGTTAAACGTAAGTTCAGATCTATCATGTGCATTGTTCTTTCAGTAAAACCCACATTCTCCCCTTCGCGCGTCACTGTACGCGCCGCGCCACCACCTCCCACCTCGCCTTGGAAATGGCGGGGAACATCAATGGGGATTTTAAAACCCCTTCTCCCCATAAAAACAAATGCTTTCTCTCTCTCCAAATTGCATGATTGGATGAATTTGTTAACTCTTTTTTTTTGTTTGCCCTAGAGGATGACTAATATTAATCGAATTTAAAATTTTTAGTACCTCATTTTGTGTTCCTTCTTGATGTTGATATCTTTTTTTTTCTTGTTAATAAGAAAATAATGGTACAAGGAACAACATGGTTTGAGTGTTAATTTTTCTGTGCTAATTTGACTCATTTCATTATCTGTGTTTATTTTAAATATTCTAAATATGATATTTTAACTGATACATGAGTTAATTTTAAGCAGTGAAAAGAATTGATTTTTTTAATCTAAAAAGACCCTATATTTAGTGATATTTTTCTTAAACATTTTTAGAAAGAAAAAACAATTTCTATATAAATTAGTTTGTAGAATACATGTTATGTTAGATCTTGTGAAAAAATATGATGTTTTAATTTATGATTTTTTTTTATTATATCTTCTTGCAGAAAGTTTGTACAAAAATACCCTGTATTTGGTGTTGATGTCATTGGTTGAAGATTCATGTAGACAACCAGAAAAAAAATATAATGGTACATGGACAACTAATACAGACTACTACAGAGTGAATGTAGACTACTCATCTGAGTTAGCATAAAGCAATTGTTTAATAATAAAAACATTATCATTTTTCTTAGACATTCATGATATTTTGATTAATTAATCCTTGCTGGTGCCCCCATCATCCTGTCTCAGCAAAACTTGAATAAGATATGAAGAATGGTGCTTAATACTAAGAAGTTTAAGAAAATAAAAATAGTTGCATGGGGACTAATACCTATAACTCTGCCTTAATGCTGAGGTTATGCAGAGGAAAGAGAACTGTGAACTGAGCAATGAGGGGTAACGTTGTTGCCTCATAATATGACACAAGAAAGACAATTAAATAAGGAAGGGAAAAAATAATGGGCAAGAACATTTCTCTATCATATTTGACCTCCAAATGCACATGGCTGCTTGGGTTTCTGTTCTATTAGTTTTTGGTTTTTTAAAAGTTTTTGCCTTTACCCTCACAAGTTTACAATCACATGCTCTCCTCTCTCTTCTGCTCTGAGCTGACTCTCTCTTTCTCTCTCCTCTCTAGTCATTGGCTACATACATGTTTCAGCTGTGTCATTGAATGCTTTTGACTCCATAGTTGAAGAGATTCCTCAGATCTACAGGGCAAGACTTTTGGACATTGTCAGCCTCAATTCTTCATCTTTCTGGGGTCCTTTTAGGTCACTCACTTTAATTCCATCAATCCAGAAAGGTTGGACTTCTTCAGCAATTCATTGCCACCACATGATTTACAATCATATATTTGGTTGGTTTGCATTTAATGTATTGGTTTTTAATATGAGGGTGTCCAATTTAAATCCTATGCCTTTTTGTGTTGAGTTCATTTTTTTTTTTCTGGTATTGGGGTTGTTGTTGTTCTTGTAACTGATACTGATGATGGATCTTGATTTCGTTTATTGCAATCGGGATCATTCATCCAATCTTCTTTATAGTTATGAAAATGTGTTAATTCTCCAAAACTTCTTAAATAGTTTAATTCTCCAATTCACGATGTCTTAGATAGTTAAACTTCTGTTCAAGCGTGATTTCTTCGGGGCTGATATCAGATATAATTTCTTTAACTGTAGCTTTTGAGTCATGGTTTTGTCACATTCCATATTTCAATTCTTTGGCATGACATAATGACATCTAATCAGTGACCATTTTGTTTCGTTTCTTTTATCTTTTTCCTTATTCTTCTATTGTTGGTCGGTTAAAGTTAAGTTCCTGATCTTGGTGGTTACTTTCACTGTACTAGTTTTGTTTTTGTACATACTTCTTTTATTTCAACTCCACCTTTCCTTAATGGTAACTTAATTCTATTATTATATATCTGTTTCGATTTCGTATGAGAGACTCATCTTGGCCTAACATATTGCAGCTGGCACTAGAGCTCTGGCTTACAGATAAAGCAAGAATTAAACATTGACCAGTGCTTCTTGAGATGCAAGTGCAATGGATTGAAGGAGGAGCTAGTTGAAACCACAAGTTGAATATTGTGGAAAAGAAAATTGGATGCTATCAGTTTGCTTTCAATGGTTTGTGAGATGGAAAGTGATTGTATTGAGGACATGGACGTTGAAGTCCTCTCTTCAATGTGGCCTGAAGATATTGGCACCGATGTTGGAAAACAGTTCAATATAGAGAAGCCTGGAAGGGACCAAGATATGCTGGAGGAAGTCACAATCTTAGAGGAGCCAACAATAGCCGATTTCCAGCGTCTAATGGAGCTTACAAATTACACAGATAAAGGGTCTTCTCAGCTGGCATACCTCATGCAACACTGGGAGTATAAGCAGGCTAACGCGGTTCGGCTTCTGAGAGAGGAACTTGACAACCTTAGCAAACAAAGGCAGGAAGTTGAGCTCAGGAAATTGGAGATACTGAAAGACAATCGGTTTGAGGAAGAGAATTACGGCGGTGACAAGCGTCCGGTGTCTATATTGGATGAGATTTACTATACATGGCAAGATGTGCCAGTGCCACTCAGGAAAAGCAATGTGGTTGTGCAAAACAAGAGGGTTGAAATTGATGCTGAGTATGACACAGTTGTGTATTGGAAACAGAGGGCGCTGCAGTTGGAAAAACAGTTGGAGGCAAGTGTCAATAGAGAACAGATACTAACGGACAAGTTGCAAGAAAGTATAAAGGAATTTGAAAGGCAGTCTTCACCTGTGGAAGAACTAACTCAGATTCTGAAGAGGGCAGATAATTTCTTACATTTTATACTCCAAAATGCACCCGTTGTCATTGGCCATCAGGTACATTACAGTGAGTATTGAGTTTATATCCATATGGCAAGATCTGACAGTACTGCGTAGAAAAATGTTGATGTACACTTATCTAAGACTAGATTAGTTTTAACTTAGTCTAAGTACAAAAAGAGTTAGGACCTTGCGAGTAAGTGAGGCCATTTTTGAACTTATTTTCTATAGTTTTCTGTAGAGAATCAGCTCCCTCTTCTAAACACACCATTGGTTTACAGCATGGTGGTTGGTATGTTGAAATATGTGCATGAAAGCAAGTAATGCACATAGACAACAGTTATCTGTTCTATTCGCTTAGATGGAAGATTGCTTTATGGCCGTATTTCTTGCCTTGGTGCAGTGGACACAGAACATTTCCCATATCTGTCTTTTCAAAAGGATAGAATAAGTGAACTGTGCAACTAAACTGTTATCTAAAATATGTGCTGTGTGACTGTGTTGGAGAGTTTAGTGGTTGGTGCATTAACATATGAAAGATGGATATGGGAACATGTCACCACATTGATATAACATAAACGTAAATATAGGAACTTGTCACCTAATGGATAGAAATATGCCATGCTTTGGAGTTGCATTACATTGTTTTCCTTCAAACACATGATCCATATTTTGTGCAATAGTTGTACTTTACCTCCTTCATTGTAGTTTTAATTGGTCCATCATTATGGAAGCTAAATATGTGTTTGCCACAGAAAGGGATCTTCGAATCTGCAAAGGGCTGACTCTGATATTTTTCTTTCAGGACAAAGAGTTGCGATATCGCTTTATCTACAATCATTTTCCAAGTTTACAAGAGGAGGTAATGATTGCTGTTGAAGCTCTTATTTCAAGGTCATATGATTAAGTTGGTTTACAATTTTATTTTCTTAAATAAAAAGCTGCACATACTTCAGAAGAAACTTCTATACTTTTCTTGAATTATTTTACTTTTTTTGCAAAGTAGTTTTATGTAGGCTGAAATATCTTGATTCTTAAAACTCGCTAGTATTTTTCAGGACATCATAGGAAAAACAGATGTTGAAATTTTCACTGGATCCGGTGTTAAGGAATCTCAAGATTTCAAGAGGGAAGTAATGGAGAAAGGGTTGCCTGCAAAAAAGGAAATTACTTTTGAGACAGAATTATTTGGGTCAAAGACATTCTTGATATATGTAGAACCTGTCTTTAGCAAAGCAGGAGAGACAATTGGAATAAACTATATGGGAATGGAAATAACAGACCAGGTAGATTTCATTTGCTTTTAAAAGTTACTTGCAGTCTTGTGCTTGCAAAGAGGATATTTATGTTCTTCACAAACTGCAGGTAAGAAAAAGAGAAAGAATGGCAAAGCTTAGGGAAGAGATTGCAGTCCAGAAAGCCAAGGAATCAGAACTTAATAAAACGATCCACATTACAGGTTTAATCACTCAGCCAGATCTGTATTTGTGAATTTTACTTTTTAAGTTTGCTTTGGCTGCAACAAGCCTTTTTTTTTCCTTATCTTCCCTCCTTTTCAACAGAGGAAACTATGAGAGCAAAACAAATGCTGGCAACAATGTCTCATGAGATAAGATCTCCACTATCTGGAGTTGTTAGCATGGCTGAAATTCTTTCCACCACGAAACTTGATCGGGAACAAAGACAGCTTTTGAATGTCATGATATCTTCTGGAGATTTGGTTCTTCAACTTATAAATGACATTCTTGATCTTTCCAAGGTTGAGTCAGGTTAGAAATTTCTCCAACACCATTCCTTTTCTCAGTGATATCCCAAATTAAAACAGCAGTTCCAAGACTAGTTTTAATCATTAGAGAGTCGCATGGCAGTTACTTATCTACAGTGAAAGGAAAAAAAGTGCTTTTAATTTCTGATCATAGGTGCTGATCATTTAAATTTCTTCCCACCCCACAAACCCTTTTGTTTTTTTTTATAGGAGTTATGAAATTGGAAGCTACCAAATTCCGGCCAAGAGAGGTGGTAAAACATGTACTCCAGACTGCTGCAGCATCATTGCAGAAAATGCTAACCTTGGAAGGAAATGTGGCAGATGATATACCTGTTGAGGTGAGAACTTTAGTAACGATTCCATGCATTGCTAAATATTCAGCATTGTTGTCGTACCTAAATCTAGGACTACTTCTGTGATGTATCTCCGCAGAAAGTGATTATTTTCATAAATCTCAAGTGCTAATGAAGTAATTAACTGATAAATGGAAACCATGATGCAGGAATTAGGTCCTGACACGACTTTTGAATGCAGAGACATAATATTACCTGATAGCTAAGTAATTTACACTTCAATATCTTCATGCATAATTGCAGGTCATTGGAGATGTTTTGAGGATTCGGCAGATTCTCACAAATTTAGTCAGGTACTAAACTTCGAATGGTTGCTTAGTCTTATGAATCTGCAATTAACCGCTTCAATCGTTTCCATTTTGGTTCTCATGTGTGAAATCAAATTCTTTGTTCCATTTATTGTAGAGCAGTACTCTCTTTTGTACTTGGCTGCACTATTTTACTTAGTCCTAATATAATACGCTTTGATATTTTATTATCAAACTACATCATTGCTTCATGAATACAATAGGGCATAAGTAGTGTTACTGAAAATATATTGACAAGTACCTTTTACTTCTCTTTCCATTACCCCACTAAAGAATGTATTTCTGATTATCCATTGCTCTACATTTATTATTCTCTAATGTTTTTCAGCAATGCCGTAAAGTTTACACATGAAGGCAAAGTTGGTATCAACCTTTACGTTGTTTCAGAGCCACCTTTTGCCAAAGCAGAAGGGCATCAAAAGATGACCATAGATCAGTCAAAAAGTTCAGTAAATGGAGTGAAGGAAGAGAAACGTGCATCAACACCGCGAAGCAGCAGCAATCAAACTTGTCTAGATGGTCAGAAACATAACGACCATCCAAGCCAAAGTCATTCATTCAACGATGAATGTGGTTCTTCAGTTAAAAGTGAATGCTCAATGAATGGAGATACTGAGGAGCAAACTCGTTCAACTGAAACAACAGTATGGATACGTTGTGATGTATATGACACAGGAATTGGAATACCAGGTATAATGTTAGTACTTAATTTGTTAATCTGTACACAAATAAGTTTGAAAGTACTTAATTTTTTACATCTTATCATGTGACAGAAAAGGCAATACCTACTTTATTTAGAAGGTACATGCAAGTAAGTGCAGACCATGCTCGAAAATATGGTGGCACAGGTCTAGGTCTAGCAATATGCAAACAACTGGTAAGCTTTTTGACACCCCTCTTATTTAGGTAAAAGTAAATACAACTTTTAAGATAATTATTGTAAAACTCAACAAACTTGGTAGTATAAAAAATGTGTAATTGGCTTTTTTTGATATGTTGCCCCAAAATATGGATTTTAGCTTCATAAAAAAGAAAAGAAAAAAAGGAAACAATGATATTTCACATTATATAGATATCTGTCATTTTTAACTGGACCAACATTAACATGATTTTCTTTCTGAGACTAATCATGTATTGCACTTTGTCCATGTTTCCTGCACTTGGAACAGGTTGAGTTAATGGGGGGTCGTCTAACAGTGTCTAGCAAAGAACATTGTGGTTCTACCTTCACATTCATACTTCCCTACAAAGTTTCAACGGCTTGTGATAATTCCGATGACCCAGATGAGCTATCAGATGTGGATGATAATGATGATGATACTACAGAGGGATTCTTCCAATTCCAACCACGCACTTTGGGCTCTCTCTTCTCCTCTAATGGACCTACCAGGCCCCAAAATATACTACCAGGTTTCAGAAGCTCAAGCAAATTCAATGGCTTTTCCGAGAATTCTTATTCATTCCCCACTACCAACATAAGTTCAAAAGGAACTAGTTCAAATGAGGATGCATATTCAGTTATTGTTGATGCTCCAGAGATGTCTGAATCAACAAGTTCATCAAATCACAGCCCTGAAACAAAGCATGAAAGTGTAGTTAACACAAACCAACAGAATCAAGATAAGGCACATGCTGGATTACAGAATGGTAGTGTAAACTCTTCTCAACATAAGGAGGCAATAACTCTAGGAACAATATCAAATGAACCCCAACAAACATGTCAGCAAGTGAAGACAGACACAGCCTCTCAATGTGTCATTAGTAGTAATAATAACACTTCATCAGAAGGGACTAAATCCTCATTAGGGCCTAAGATTCTTCTTGTTGAAGATAACAAGATCAATGTGATGGTGACACAGTCAATGATGAAGAGGTTAGGCTATGGCATGGATGTTGTGAATAATGGGGTGGAAGCTGTACGTGCAGTTCAACGCCATACTTATGATGTCATTTTGATGGTACCTTGTTGAATCTCAAATTTTTTAATCCTGATGCAATTTCATTATACAAATCAGTGCATTTTATTTTCAAGAAAATGGGCTAGTCCATTGTAGGATAAGAAATAGAATGAATAATACCCTTGACTTAATTTTTTTGTTTCTTACTTATGTAAATGTTCATAACTTATGTTGATCAATAGAAATTTTAGCTTTAGGTGATCATTTGGTACTTGTGCTTTACAGGATGTTTTCATGCCAGTTATGAATGGTCTTCAAACAACAAAACTGATTCGGTCTTATGAGGAAACTGGCAATTGGGATGCTGCAAGAAAAGCTGGAATTGAACAATGTTTACCAACTTCTGATGAATGTTCTGTACCACCTAAAAACCGGATCCACATCGTTGCGGTGGGTAATTTGTCCTCGTGAGAAGAGAAGAACTTCAACATGCTAAGCTTTTATAAACATGCTAATAAAAAACCAGCACTATATTATTTGAACAATAGAACCCGACAAAAACTATGCCACTTGATACCCTTTATGTAGCCTGGTGTTTGTGAACCTGACAATTTCTATTTTCTGATAGTTCTCTCCAGGGCTCATGATTTCTTGCTTAATCAAATCTAGCCTAACCCATTTAGCTCTTTGTGCTAAAAACTGGTACTGAAATAAAACAGAATGTTTTAGCCGATTTTTTTATTTAAATTTATTTTATAAATATTATTCAGTATAAAGTATTTTTACTCTAACATTCAATAGGATTCAGTCATTTTACAACTTCATCCTAATCATTAATATACAGTGGTGACAAGATAAATTTCTATTTGAATAGAAAATTGTCTTAATATTGGAACTAACTACCTCTTGTATGTGTAAATTAAATATCTGAGAAGTCAAGTAACATTTTCTTATTTTGTCATGTTAATGCAGATGACAGCAAACACAATGTCAGAGAGTGCTGAGGAGTGTTATGCAAATGGTATGGACTCATTTGTGTCAAAACCTGTGACATTCCAAAAATTGAAAGACTGTCTAGAACAGTACCTGAGGTGATCATAACCATGTAAATTTGCGCTTGTGTATAAAAGAATAAGAGCCTAGGAAAGTTTTGCTAAGAATCCATAATGTTCTCTCCTCTTCATCAGTGTCTACCTTGAATTGTATAGATCTAAAACATTCTTTTCCATCCCTCCGAATGCATAATAACTGTTAGAAAGCTAGTAGGACTAGTTGGAGCGTGAATGTAGAAAGTACATAACATAAGCCTTTCCTATGATGAGGCTATGTATTGGGAGTTTTGACAATGTTGGCACTGCAAGAAATCATAAGAGACACTTTTGAAGTTGATGGTAATATTTTACTTGCTGCTAGTAGAAATTATGTAGAGTTTGGTTCTAAAATCAAAGGAGTGAAAAGGGTGTGTGAGAATTTATGTACATCAATGATTTGAGTCTCCTGCAGTATTGGACGAGGTGCAGAATTAGGGAGAGGAAGAGAGTAGGACCCTGTGTAATTTTGCAGGAGATATCATCTTCAATATTTATGCTCCAGATATCATTTTACGTTTCTTCTAAATGTGTATAATATTAACAGAAGGAAGAGTAGAACTATATAAATTTACCCAGTTTATGTGCATGCCTTATAAGCCTTAACTGAATCCAAAGCATATGGTTCAAATTCAATTTTCAAGCATCTTTTATATCTCTCTACATATTTTGCAAAAACTTTGCTTCTAAACACTTCATACATAATAATTGCATTTGACCAAAGGCCTAAAAAAATTGGGAATTTATACCATGCATCATGCATGGCTGGATTTGAAAGCGAAAATAGGTCACTTCATAACAGATCCACCTTAGTGTAAAACGATTTTAAGGATTTAATATCTTTCTTGGGTGAGTTATTCTATATATAATTTAGTCATTTTCTAGTGAAATTTGTCTTTCTAAAAAAATTAAGCTACAATACAAAATATAAGTTTAAATAAAATTATTCTTGTTCCAGCAAAAATCTTAGTTTTTCTCTTCTAGGCTTTCAATCGAGATACTTGGTGAATTTGCTGAAGCAATTGTAAATGGAAAGATTTACAGTGGCTGAAGCAAAGGAAATGAAAGGAATAATATTAAGAAGCTAAATAAAATAATGAGATACAATTTGATAATCATGAACTCTGGATATCAGGGACTCAAACAGAACATATATAGGATCTTTCAGGTCAATTTCTTGGTGGATTCCTGTTATCATAAATTCACTAAGTTAGCCAAGTGATTCTTAACTACCACTTGTCTAAGGTTTTCATTAATTTTGATTTTGATTTTGATCCCTAAAACTTTTTCATTCTTTTTTGTTTTTCCTGCGTGAAATAACTATTTTTAATCTTAATAAAATGAATGAATTCTAGTTTTAGCTCCTAGAAATCATTTTTAACTCTTTATCCCTCCAAATTTTCAAATCACTAATTTTAGTTCCTAATATTTATTTTAGACTAAATAAATAATATTTACTTTATGGATCTTAAACTTTCTTTAAAAGTTTAAATGTCAACATTAGATCACACTATTATTCTCAGTCACAACAATCACATTAAGCTTATATCTTCGGTTTAGAGTTAAATTTTAAAAACATTGCAGCATAATATATCATCATACAATATACAACACCTGCATTGGAGTTATATGTAATTATAAAAGAGGAGTTAATGGTAGAATTTAATGTTCATATATCATCATATGCATAAAGGGGAGACACTAATGGTTAGTGCAATTTCTGAAAAGCAGAAGAAGAATAAAGAATTAAACAATAACAGATTTTGATTTGTTACTTACATTATATATACACTTCCCCTATATTGCTCTCTTTGTCAGCCCCAATTAGTATTTATTAATCAATGCATACAACAAAGCAACATGAGTTAACCTGAAGATGAAGTGCCACCTTCCTTATCTGGAATTGTGTGTGCCACATATCAAAGAAAGAATCTAAATATATATATATATATATATATATTGATTTTGCATTAGTGGAACTATACGTCACAGATCACACATGCATCCATGCAAGTGGAGGAACAAACTTGATGTGTTCTATCCATTTGTGTGTGTGACTTTTCTCTGCCTGCAACAAAAGATTCTACCACCAAACATCTCTAAGAATTATATTATACTATATTGCATTTTATGCTGGTTCAATAGTTCTCACTGAACTGTGTAAGTAAATTTCAGAACTAGTGCTCTATCCACTTTGAAACTGTGATAATATGGATACATAGTTACAAATATCTGAGCATATTGTAAAGAATTGTAGTGGTAAAATGAGGTCATGGACAGACAATAGTTTATGTTGCATTATTATTAACCCACGATCTTTGATGAGGCGGTGAACACTGAATATGAAAAATTTAACATAATTTAAAGTATAGAAGAATATGATAACGATAGTGTACGAGTAAGGGGCTAGTAGAATAAAAGTGAGAACCCTAATAAATATGAAGAATCAAAGGTGGAGAGAATATAATTTGGACACCCTTTTGCGAATGGGTGGAGAATATAATTTGACGTAACAAAACAGATAAAATGAAGCATCCAAGTTGAAATGAAATTTGGCAAAGTAAAAGGTGGTTCCTGTTTTGATCCAAAAAGGCTTCATATTTGGCCCCTTGATGTATGAATATCAAACTAACTAATGAAGGTAGATAGAATGTGGAACTAACCAATCCAGGTAGATAGAATGTGGAAAGAATAATATTTGTTTAAACTTGCTTTTTATATGTATAATTAAAATAATTTTATATTTTTAACAAATTTCAATGTACATACACATAAATTAGTATTGTGTATTACATTGTAATGCATGATTAACATATTCTAAAAAATAAAAAATATTAACATTTATAATTTCTTTTAGGTGAAACATTGGTCTCAATTTATTTTTATCCCAAGAATTATATTTTAATATATTCATAAGTTTTATATTATTTAAAGTTGATATTAAAAATAAATATATATACTTTTTTTTTCTCTCAACTTACTAAAATATCTTTTAAAAATAAAACTTTAACATATTAAAATTCTAAAAAATATAATATCTTACACGTATTAATAATATTTTCCTAATAAATATAAAATTGAAATACTCTTATTAAATATGTTCAGTAACATAAACAAATTAAAAAAATAAAATTAATATTCAAGAAAATTAGTAATGATTTTAATAAGCACAACTTTACTATCAATGTTGAGTGACACTCCTCAAAATATTCTAACTTAAAATGTCTCCACAACTGGTTGTTGTAACTTTCATTATTTTGAAATCACCCCATTCACAGAACTTGGAATGAAAAAATAATAATAATTAATTTTGTGACTTTAGCTTTTATTATTTCATAAGTTCAACTCAAACTCGTATATTATTTGATAAAGTACATGACGTAAAAGCTTGAAATAACCTTTATAATGTATTACAACAAATAAATTGTGTTTTTTTTTTTTCAATATCACCTTGTAGTATAACAAGGAAGATAAATTGAAATATTTAATCATGAATTATAAATATCTTTTTCAATCAAAATACTAAATATTTTAGTTAAAAATCATAAAAAAATAAAATAAAATACGAGACTTAAGTGACAATATTCAAAGTAAGTTATCAATGGTATTTCATATGCTTATTTATAGACTTATAAATGATTGATTTTGACCTTCGTCAAATGGTCAACCTTGCATATTAAAGTTTTCATATAATGAAATATTACTTATAAAAAAAGTGTTACTACCTATGTTTATTGAATAATAGTAGTGTGATTAGGGTTTTTCAAATATGTTTCCTTAGTAGATCTATGAAATATCAGAAAAGAAAGTTATGTAGATATACACAAAGCATATATTATTTTTGCCTTTTCTTTATTTTGATTTGACATAGACTATGTAGCTTATTCGTGAAACTTATAATTCTGGAAATTACGATTTTAGATCGGTTAATGCATGTGGATAACAATTTGAATTGGGGTGGTGCTTTGATTGGTTTAAGGAATAGTAAAGCTTGCCGATAACAACGTTGAAAATTATAACAAAAGATAAAGAAGTTTCGATTACTATCAACAATCAACACGGCAAAATTCTATGATATGTATATATTATTATATTTTAGTTAGATATGTTTGTGTTCTATTTTATTTTTATATGATCGGCATACAAACCAAGAAGAAGAAAATAAATAAATTTATATTATTTTAAGAAGAGTAATCAAGAATTTACATGAAACCCAAATATTCAACTTGTAACTTAGACTATACAACTTACAACAATTAAGATGAAGCAAAATAACAATATAATTTACATGAAACCCAATCACATTGTTCAATGTAAATAGACATATTGATAACATATTTATGCATGGAAAATATTAATAACATCTTAATAAAAGTTGATCTAACATATTTTGACATCAAAATAATATTAAAACAAACATTTTAACTTAAAAAAATAATAATAATTTTTCTTTACTTAAATTATCGTAATTTTCTTATTTCATGAGACATGACGTTGAATTATAAAAAAATAAATCACTTGCTATTTAATTATAAAGAAAGTAAATCATTTTTTTTATAAATAGAGGTTATTAATTATATTCCGACCATATGACATAAAGCATGGGTTTATTAATCATATTAATTAGATTTGATTCTTATAATTAATCATATAATTTGTTAAGGAAAGTAAGATATCATCTCTATCTCAAAAAGATTTCCTCATTTAATTAATTGTCTTCAAAGTAACTTAATAATAATAATAATTGTGTATATACATAGGCCACTAACCCATTTAATATATAACTAATATGCTGAAAAGACTACAAACAAATCCATAAAGAAATAAAGAAATATTATGATCTTCTTGAGGAATAAGAATATCTGAAATTTGCTCACAATATATATGTTTTAATCAATATATAATTTATATTAATTAGTTTACACAAGTGACGACCAATTCCTTAATCAAGTGGTTCAAAATTTGTTTCATGGTGATTCCACTTTGGATATAAAGTAAATTATAATGAAAGGAAAATATCAATATTGTATGTGTTTAGTGTTTATCTTTGCAATTATTAATATGTAAGGACACATATGATAAAAATATAAAAATAATATTACTTAAGATTGATTTAATGATAACAAAATACCAAACATAATTTGTTGTTCCTTTTTCTTTGATTTTTCTTGTCATCCACATATATAAATAAAATTAGTCAAATCATTTTTTTTATCATTATTATTCTATTTTCTCTCCACCAAAACTTAGTGTAATGAGTTCATCGATAATTAAGATCACATTAAATTCCAAGTAATGATGAAATAAAAGCAAAAGCCCCAATTGCTTTGTTTCCCCCTTTGCCCACATTATTTATTCTCTTTCATCCCCACTTCATCATTGTGGTTGCTTTCACAATATATAAGCATCTAATTATACACCATCATGCTCATTCACTATGCCCTTATTGGGGACCCAATGACCCTAATACGTGGCCCTCTAAAAATACCAAGAGTCGTATTTTTTTTTTCTTATTTTTTATTTTTCGAAATATGTAAAATTATTGCATCATCACACAAGAAATATATATTTTCCTTTGTAAGGGGTATGATAAGGTTGAAGAGTATCAACATGACTTCATCATGTTTATGCACCATATTCTTTGGATGCCCACTACATTGGTTTGTCTAAAACAATATTTAAATTTTATTATTAAATTAATCTCTTAGGACTTGTTTAGTGGTTAAGATTGCATGTATATAGTTATCATATATAATGTCTTATTTTGTTATTAGTATTGTTTAGCTTATCCAATTCAACTAGAATCATTCTTATCTACTAAGAGAATTCAGGTGTAAAACAATATGATAAATAATATAATAATATTTCCAAGAGTTTTTGTGTCACTTATTATAACCTTTAACTTATGTTTTCAACAAATAAATGAATTTTAGAAGACTATAGTGAAAGGTGTCAATTTTTTTTTTAATTTTATCATATTTTTCTTTGTTGTTAATTTTATAAAATTGAAAAATTAAAACTCTAATATCCAAAAAAAAAGGAAGAATATCATTGGGGTGCACCTTAGATATCAATCAACATGGAACATATCTTTGTTCAAATAATCTAGAGTTTAGTAAGATCAATACTCACATACCAACATAGCAGAAAAAAAGAAAAAACTAAAATAGTTTTAAATAATTTCATTCTAATATCTTACTTGAAAATTTATCGTTTTTCTTGTTACCAACATTCTTACAACATGTAAATAAATTGAGTTAGAAAAATGTGTAATTGCTATAATATATATGCAATTTAGTCTCGTGATTTTAATTATATAAATTTAATTGTTCAATTTTGTAATTGTGTGATTTTAGTTTTTCTATGAATTGGAATATATTTTTTTCTATCTTTTTTAATGTTATAATTTTGAAAGATTTTGTTTCTATTTATTTGTGACATTTTAAAAGTTGAATGTGATACTAATTATTCTTATTCTTATTATTTATCTAATCTTATATATATATATATATATATATATATTATATAATGAAAATAAAAAATAGTAAAATAAAAAAATCTTATAAATATTTGATATAAAGAATTTATATATTTCTTAATTTCTGTAAAAGAACTTTAAACTATACTTAAAAAGAAATGGATCAAGTGTTGGCTCAACATTGATTGATGACATGTTTATGATTTAAAAATCACAGAATTAGGATATCTCAAGGATCCAATTGATGCAATTTGACTGGGATACCTGAAATCTCACACTTTCAATAATTTCATTTGATGTAATTAAAATTTAAGAGGTTAAAAACTCTACCAATCATGATATATGAAAGATAAATTTGTTTTTAGTATCTAAAAATATCATTTTTAGTTTTGGTCTCCAACTTTTAAAAATGGATATTGATAGAAGGAATAAATTCATGATTTTTTAAAATTTAAAAATTACTTAATCAACTTTTAAATATAAAAAATTGACATTAATTTTGAATTTTATTCTTTGCACCATTCTAATTATAGCATAGAGAGAATAATTTGTAGCACCCTTACACAACAACAAACACGCACTCTTCTTTCTTTGTCTCTTTCAATATCTTGGTCTTAGTAGTTGTTGGCCATTATAAATACCTTGCTACCCATGTCTCTTTTACAAGCTCTCAATCCTTTCGTTCCCCTCTTCTCTTCCTTCTTTTTCTGCTCCACCAAACCACAAAACCAATTAAGTAACCTAAAACAATAAGCACATAGAAAACTAGCAAAATGAGAAGTTTTCCCCTTCCCCCCACAAAGCTAAACCCACCCAACATCAACACATTAGCACCAACAATAGTGACAACAAGATCTGCAACTCCACCATCACCCACATCTCCTATTCCCTCTCCATGGCACTCTCCAATCCCTTACCTCTTTGGAGGCCTAGCCATCATCATGGCTCTCATATCCATGGCCCTATTCATACTTGCTTGCTCCTATTGGAGACTCACAAGGCAGACCCAACAAATGGACTTGGAGAATATCACCCATAATAACAACAACAACAACAACATCATCAAAGAGGGTGATGATGACCCTCAAAAAAAGGAGCAACCTTTGGTCTATGAGGAGAAGGTCCTAGTCATCATGGCTGGAGATCACAAACCCACCTTCTTGGCCACCCCATCTACCAATACCAATTTCCACAAACACCTTGAAAATTCCGAAAATTTGGACATGCCACACATGGAAACTTCTGACAACAACCATGGTGTTGTTCAGGACGAAAATGGAAGTTCTCAAGAACATAATGAACAGCATAGTGACTGAAAGTTATGAGTTTGGATCCTCTCTCTCCTCTTCATCACCATTTTGTCTACTTATTCCCTCTTCTTCTTAATTGATGTGTGATTGACCAATGAACATCCTCAAATTAATTTTAAGGATGTTATTAGTTGAACATGACTGTGTAAGAGAAAGTTCGAGTTGGAGGAATCATAGATTTAGGTTCACTTCATTGGCTACTTTATTGCTTTTTATTTTCTTCTATCACCTATTAATTGTGGAGTAAGGTTCTGTGGTAGTGGTAAAGATTTAAGAAAGGGTAGTAATAGTGGTGGAATGAAATTCCATTTTTGTTTTTTGCTTTTTTTGGTCATTTTTTTGTACTAATTATTTGCTTTTAAAATCCTTTTTAACTTTGATTATAGGATGATTAGTGTAACCATGTTTAAATGAAGATTTAAGGTGACGGGAATGTGAAGTATAGGAAAGCTTCCTTTCAATCTAAGGAAAGAGAGAATTGGCATCTTGTGTGTGACTTTGAAGTGGAATTTTTACGTAAGAGTTTATATTCCTCCATCATCAACGTCGACTTCGCTTTCTATTCACGATGGCAAAATGTGCTTCTCTTCTCAATCATACCAATTACCAAACTACATTCCAATACTTAACCTCTTTGTTCAATTTCTTCAAATTTTAGTTCAAATACTTTTTTTTTAATATTAGAACATAACGTAAAGTTGAACATGAATTTCAAATTTTGCTTCTAAAACATAAAATCATAAAAAAAAAGCACTTCTTTTATATATTTAAAAAATTGAAGTAGATGTGAATTTTTTCAAATAAGAACAATAAAAGTATTACTCAATAAAATTATTAGGATTTAGAATCAACTCATATTCTCTCAATTGAAACTTCAATAAAAAAGGTATTTGAAAATAAAAAAGTTTTGTTCAAATTTTCTCTCATCGAGAACAAATCAAAATGAGTTCAAGAAATTAGAATAAGAGGATGCAGTTAAATGGAAAGTTTTTTTTTTTTTTTCTCACGGGCTAGGCAGAACGAGAGAATGAGAGTAAAGTTTGGGTTTTTAATGTAGTCAAACAGTGGCATTGTAAGAGAAGTTTTGTCAAATACCAAAGCATGTCTTAATCATATTTGGACATAATTCAATAAGTAGTTAATTTTCAAGAAAAAAAAACTTAAGAAAATATGTAACGCATTATTTTAAACTAATTTTAGACAATTCACACAAAGACTTACAAAATTTTAATCCTTTGAAATAAATAATAAAACTTGCATTCTTTTTCCTCACTCAATTTATAGTTTATAATAATAATAAGAAAAAACACATTTTTCTTGTACCTTTATTTTCTTCCTACATTTCATATTTATGTAAAATAATAATATTGTCCTTCATATAAATAGGTTTTAGAATTATTTTTTCAAAAATATTTTGGATTAACCTGTTGGAAATTTTTCTAAAAATATAATAAAAAATTAATTCTAAAATATTTTAAAAAAATTTGGAAAGACCATCCAAAATACTTCCAGTATGAGTTGTTTATAAAGTTTTCAAAATAATGAATCCAAAATAATAATAATAATAATAATAATAACATAAATAATATATAAAGAGTCGTCAATGAAGTAGTTGCATTTTTCTCTCCATTACATTACTTCTCTTAATGCTTCATGTTTTTATGACATGTTCTTCTTATTTATTTATTTTTCACTATTTTCCTTTACATATATGCGCGCATTATGTGTTTAATTATAATAGCGAATTTTGACCATTAATATATTATTAATAAATAAAAAAAAGTAAGAAGAAGTGAAAGAATTAAAAAGATTAAAGATTTGTAAATTTTTAAATAAATATATTTAATAATAATTAATTTTTTTAAAATCAAAATGATAAATATTAATACAAGATAATTTTTTTTTTTTAAGTTTCATGTGTAACTCTCTACTCCTGGTTCACTTTAATATGGGAGTGTAATAAGAAAATATGGAGTCACGAGGAAGATAATAAATAAGAAAACCACTGTTTATAAAAAGACATTTCAAATAAATTGTAACAGTTACGGCCCAAGTACTAATTGGGTTCAAACAGGATAGAGTCTTATTTTTAGTAACGCATGCTATTGGCACCCATATCATTGCTACTTGAATTTTCTTTAGCATTTGTAATATTTATTTTCACGAAAAACTTACCCTATTATAAAAAGATGTTTCATTTTATATATAGTTTTAATTAAATATTTTTATTTTAATAATTTACATGATAAATTTTTCATTAGAAATCAACATAAATTATTGAGTTTTTTTTTCAATACTAATTAAAAAGTAATAACAAAAAAAGGCACTGCATGCCATTTTTTTAATAATCTAGGCTCTTTAACCCATTTAAAAGTTATTTAAACATGTTGGCATGCCAAATTACAAACTTTATTACAAGGTAAAATTTCAAAAATATTTCTTTAAATTTTACCAAACTTCTACAAAAATTTGATCCTAGTGGATTCTTTAATAAATTTATATCATAAAATATAACTTCAGTTATGGTAAAACCTTTTTTGTTTACCTCTATTTATTGATTTAATATTTGTAAAAGTTAATAATTTGTTTTGAAAAAAAGGACGGAAAACTATTAATTGGAAAGTTAGGTGAGTGAATGTTTTATTGAATTTATAATTGTAAAGTTCTGGTTTTTTTCAATCAAAAAGTAAGATTATTTTATGTGTTCCACATGCATCACGATGTGTATTAATTGTGCAAAAATTATTTTGTGTTCCAACATCGTGTGAAAACGATCATTGGGGGCCCAACCTTTTACTTTTGGATGGTTTCACTTTATTTGTTATTCCATGACTTGGCGGGCAAGTATAATCTCTGTTCAAAATTTTCTTCTTTTTTTCCAAATAAAATATTTTCCATTTCTCTTATATAAGCCTGCAGTTTGCCTTCTCCATTCATCCTTCTACGAACTCACTCACTCTTATACTCTCTCCTTTCTATATTTATCTATCTATCTCTATATATATTTTGTTGCTAACTGAATTTTTTGAGATAGCGAAGCTCTATGTAGTTCTGTTCAAGTAGGTTGAAGAAGAGAAAAGATTTTTCGATACTTAATTCAGAACGAGAATAAATTATTGATCTTGAAAATATATACCTAATTAAAGAGACATCAAATTTTTTATAAGTATGTAATCGTCCGAGAGTTGCAGAATATTTCACCACTATTTTATCAGGTATGTATCTAATGTTTTGAACAATTTTGAATATCTCATATGGAGTTGAGATACTGAATATCTTGTCTATTCATGTTATGTTCTTATTTTATTTTAGACCGAGATATATATATATATATATATATATATATATATATATATATATATATATATATATATATATATATATATATATATTAATATCACATGTATATAGAGATAAATGTTTATTTTTCTTTTCAACTCTTATTTCTTTCTTTCTCATTATTCTTGATTATATGAATGAAAACGTATGATAGAAAGAATTATATTTGACTGAATATTTTGAGACTCTACGTTCAACGTAAATGTGTTGTATTGGACGGTGATGAAGAAAATTATCAGTTCGCTCGTCGTGCGTAAGTGCAAAATCTGCTTTGCCGACAACGTAATTTTCTGAGTCCATTTCTCTTAATAACTCTTTCTTTTCACTGGACAACTTTTTTGCCTTTTTTTTTTTCTTAATTTATTTGCATATATACAAGACAGCATGAATTGAATACGTTAGTTTGTGTGTAATATATTGAATTGATGATCTGCTTTTTCTTTAGTACAGGTTTGGACAGAACAAATGAGCATGTTAGAATTTGGACCCTTTTCCATGCTCATTAATCTCTTCAAAAAGCTTTGTTTGGTTACTACTTCTATGCACAATCAAGTTTAAGTTTTGTTCTAAAAGCCTGTTTGAGTGCATGCAAAAACTGTACCAATTTTTCCTATACACTCAATCTTAATAACCAATGTTAATTTGCAAAAGCTAGATCATCTAAAACCATTCAAGCAAGCTATAAACCGTTGAACATAGTGGCCAAAAAAGAAGAGAAAGAAGATTGTTTCTACTAGATTTACATTATTGTACACTTGATAGAAGCCACGATTCAAGTAGAACAACAAGAATGTAGGTGCTGCATGGGACGGAACTAACACTGTAAACCAGATTAACAATGAGAAAGGGAACTTAACTTCAACCAAGCACACAAGTATTTTGTTTGGGAGAGGGGGATTAAGAGGATCAACACCAGATTTACAAACTTCATGTCGTGTGTGTGCAATTGAAACACTGTAAACTCTTTGCACAGCTACTTTTCCTAGCTACAAATAGGACTCAATTCTGAAAGTGAAATGGTGTGAATGTGAACACGTCTATGCTAGAGGACCATAGTAAGATTACATTTGATTTCTATTCTTGCATGGTACACAGCTACAAGGAATGCCTATGACCAACTATAACAAACTGATTTTGCCACGTCCCATCTTTTCTTATCCATCACCAGATATGCACTAGCCTTCTAATGAAGGACACTTAGCCAGAGTTACTATGAGAAGAAGCACCTTGGTTCGACAAGAAACGAACAACAACGCATGTAATGTTGTCAGAACTACCTCGCTGATATGCTTCTTGCATTAGCCTCTTTGCTGCTTCCTCAGCATCCTCGATCGGTTTAATCATGGAAACAGCTTCCTGAATAAAGGTGAAAAGAATAAGAGAGTTAGATGAGTGAGACTACATGGCTTGGATTTCTGAGTTTACAAGTTCATGAGTTTGGTCTTAAACTTTTCCAGGAAAGTGATTGCTAATTTTTAGAGTGGCAACGATGAACCTATGCGTGTTGCACAGAATTTATAGACATTTGTTATGGTACCAAGGATCAGTCCTAGGTCTCTAGTTTAATAGGTGGTCTCTAACATGAAACAATTTTGGTGGATTCTCTCAACTGTTGATATAGGTAATCTTTGATTAGTTATTAACCTTATCAACCCATGATAGTGACCACCTAGAGCGTGTAAATAACAACCAAATAGTTCTTGACAGGTCTTAAATCAAATTATATTTTTTTGCCTTCATTGTTTATCACAGAAATGCACACTTTAGGAATCTAAAGGAAATGGAAGAAATGAAAATCATTGCAAACCTCATTTGAGACGACATCCCATAGCCCATCACTGGCCAATATAAGAAACTCAAGAGAGCTATCAACCTTTTCTTCCTGCAAGACCACAAACATGTTTTACTTAATTATGAAAATTTACAAAAGGAGGCCAAAGAAAGGCATGACTTAAAACTACTTGAACAAGAATAAAGACCAATCTTCAGACAGTTCTTTCATGTGAAGACCCGCTATATTACATTATTATGGTTAGCAGCATTTTTTCTCAAGCTCTAAAATGCAAGTTTTTAAGATTAATTGTACATTGAGTATATAATAAAAGTACAAAGTTCAGGAAATTTCCAAATGTGTGAACGAACGATAAATAAATGTGCATAAAGTTAAACCACATGCATTATTATAACATCATGCAAGTCAGTGAATTTTTTACTCTTAACAGAACAAACTCTAGGGATCCGGTAGCAATGACAAATCTACATGCACAAAGCTCTTTGAATGGTCTTTATATTTTATGGGGTAGTTAAGGCTTGATTTTATTTTTTATCTTATCACTTGAAGCAGAATTTTGTCTCCCTAATTTACTGAATGTGAACCACAGAGTAAATCATGCACTCTATACACATAGATGAATCTAACAATATATGAAATATCCAACAATGGATTCACTATATTAGAAACACACCTGGATTTCTGGATCAGCAACAACATACTGCTTCAGGAGTCGATCACCAAATGCACGAGAGACAGCAAGAACGCCACCAACTCTCCAAGTTCCTGTGAACATAACGTTAAAATTTCCAACAGAAACAAACCAGATGAATCCGTAAATCTGATAACAAAAACTTACTACATGATGACCTTACCAGCCCACATAACAAAGCCACCAGCATCTTCAATCCTTCGCCTCTCATCAGTTTGGTCTGGTTTATGATCTCGGGAAACAGCAACAGCTAGATGAAACAAAATAGGAAAGTAAAATATTTAAGTCACTATTCCATTCAGAAGGTTGAAGAAATTTTTTCAACAGAAACACAAGAAATTTCCATGTCCAAATATAGACTCCTGTCACACATATAACCTAGCGTGCTTGTTAACTGATAGATTCCATCTTAAAACCAACTAGTATTAAATTAAATTGTCAACAAATATATAAGTTGTACTCCAAGAAAATAGGCAGGTGATGTGAGACCTTCCAACATTAACCATACATATTAAAACCAAATGAAAGCCGTTAATTCTCATGAATGAATTGCACCTAGATAACCATTCAAGATACGTTTAGAAGGAAAGAATAAAGTCCAATTATATAAGAACAAACCAAGTACAAAGTATGATATGCCAATGATTAAACACTTAAAATTAAACTATATATAAAGATATGCCTGAAATAAAATGTTCACACTTTGCAGTCTGCAGAGTTTCACATAAGTGATGTTTCCTAAATACAATATGATAGAAGTTCCTAAAAGTCCATAAACTTCTATATGAAAGGAAATGGATACACAATAGTAAAACTGATTACTTAATGGCTGTAAATTTGATGAGACAATACAAATATTAAGTATATACATTAGCATTAGAAACAACTAAAGTAGGAACGAAGCAGAAATGCATCGGGTTAGCATAATACTGAAATTTCCAGAACCATTTGACAATAACAATAATGATTACTATGACATCAAGGTATTGGAAAACTAAAATTATTGTGAAACGATATATGTAACACAATCTATACAACTAAGAAAGTATTTACAATACAAGACAATAAAGCTACAAACAAACCTTACCATTTCCACCCCTGCATATAACAGCTCTGGAGTCCCCAACATTTGCAACAAGCAAACGGTCTCCAACAAGAATGGCAGTGGAAGCAGTTGATCCAGCATCTCTATTTTGATTATTTTCAGATTTCAGGAATTCAGAATCTGTATGGTTATATGCATCAGCTGTGAAGAAAAACAGTTTGAAAGGAGGAAAATAAAGTTATTCTCAGGATTTATCAAATTGGAGAACACCAGGCTAAGGAATCATGATGCTATGTAATGGGTAGGAAATTACAAACCTATTGCAGATTTGGTGTCAGAAATGAATTTCGGATGGCTGATCAAATTGCTAAATAGGTTTTGCTTGACATATTCGGCAGCCCGGGCACCACCATGGCCTGAAAATTTCAAAAAAGAAAGTTGCAGCTACCTTTTACATTTTTAAACAATAAAGAACAGTATAGGTTATACCTAGCCAACAGTATATCCCTCCTACATGTCAAAATAAAGAAATGCTAGATAAAGAAATGATAGAAATGAAATGCTAAATAAAGAAACACTCAGCACTCATAATCACCCTTATAAGGAATTCATGAAGGTTCTTCATCACAATTAAGAATACTGGAAAGAGAAAGTACATGATAGTGGTTAAAGCCTCAGGAAATTATGCTCAAAGACAGATTACTTAGATACCAAACCCAGAGAGATTTCCTTCATGGTGTGCAGAAAACAGTACCATAGCAAATCAGAACAATTAAACATTCCACAATCAAATTGAGTGACATAGCGACATGGCAGTCAACAAGTGTGTGTGCGCTTTTGATTGAAAAAATACAAGCATATGCGTAGAAGCATCAATATATGGAACTATTAAGTTTCTTGGAACAATTGATTTCTCAACAACACACATAGGGAAAATCAAGAGACAGAAACAAATTAATAAAGAAATAAAATTCAAAATGAAAATAATAACTTTTTATTAGGTCTAAAGGCAACAGTTGTCAGTGTTTCCAATTAATATACAACAACTAGTCCCTCAACTTGGCATCTTCTCTTAACATAAGTAGAATGGATACAATACAAGCATAAGGAGAAGAGAGAATTTATGCAAAAATACCATCAAAAACTCCAAAAAGGCCAACAATTTCACCATCAACACCATCAATTTTTGTCTCGTAAAAATCTTCCATTGAAGATCTCTTGCCAGGGGAGCTAGCGTACCCATAGCTGAATTTGCCATTCTGACTGCAGTTACAATTCATGACAAATTTTGTCAAAACATATCATTCCACTAACCAAAAGACAGGAAATGCAAAGAAAGGCCAATTAAAATCATCTATCATCTATAACCATCGAATTATGCACACATAAATCACCATCTATGTTCAATCATTGTCATATTAGAAAAAAACCAGCAAAGGGTAGTCATCATTCCAGTATGAGTATAAATTCTGACATTATCCAATATAATTTATAGCCAACAGGATAGGAAGAAGAAAATGTAAAAACGTATAACCGGATAAGAAATAAAAAAATAAAATAAAATAAAAAACAGAACTAGGCCCCCTCTTTAAACAATTTTATTATACAAAGAAAAACTCCAATAAATTTGCTTCTTGACCCATGATCACAAAATCCACACTAAAGAACCGCATAGAACAGAACTATGATTGTGAATCTGCAAAGCAACATATGGGTTAATACAACAAAACGGACATAGCATATAACAGACAAAGATATTCAACACAAAACTACCAAGAAAGATTACCATTAACTAAGCTCAATAGTTGTAAGCAACAAATAAACACACCAATTATTCACTATATTGAACCAATTTTAGATCTACAGAAAGATACAGTTACAAACCTGAGGCCCCCTCCACTGACAGGTGAATCTTCTGCCGCATGAACCTGGCTTGAGGAGGACAAAACTGAATTGAGGTACCCCATATCAGAGCTTGAATATTCAGGGTTCCCAGGTACTATTTCTTTGACCAACAACGAAAAATGAAGAAATAACAGCGCTTTTGCGTGTATACAGCTTATTCTTGCGTGCAATAGGTTCCAAGTTATCATAACACTAAATGGTGTGGGGTCATTAGGGAATAATCACACACACCCAAGTTTAATCTGCACAGAAACCCCACGAGGAAGAAAGGCAGTTAATTTCACAAAGCAGATAAATTTCCGAAAAAGACTCAAACTTTGCACCCCAAAGGAAAAAAAAAAATACAGACTTTATGCTTGGATCTTGGTATTATTAATCAAATCAAATACTGAAACAAACAAGGTTGGGATCTGGTGAGAACTATTATTGAACATGATAAAGCATGCAATTAGAAAGAGAGAGTACCAGAGGAAGGGAAGAGGGTAGAAATTGCATGACACAGAGAAGAGAGAGAAAGAGAAAGGAGACAAAGTTACAACAGGGTGACAAAACAGGGTGGATTCTGTTCATTTTTAGTTCAAGTTAGCTTCATGGTTTTGTTTGTTCCACCAACAATCGAGTTCAACGCATTCAGCCACCATCCTTTTTTTGTAAATTAATTCATATTACATCAGTAAAAAACTTTTTTGAAATTTATCGAGTTTGATAAGAAACCAATTCAAATCAGAAAATATCTTTTTTTTTTTCTTACAAAATCATATTTTCATTTTGAGTTAATGTAGTAAGAGTTTAAAAAGTTGTTTATAGTATCATTAGTTTACATGTGATTCCCAACAGTTCTTAATGATTTTTATAATATTAAAGTGTGTGTGGATGAATTCACATCTGGTTTAATTAGTGATTTGGTTTTGAGTATCTGGTTACATCAAGTATTTGGAATAAACTTTATTTATAACTACGGTTTTTTATTATCATCGGATAAACGATAAATAAAAATATTATAATTTATATTTTTAGAAAATAATATATAATTAATAAGAAAAAAGTGAATATCTTTAAAAATCAAAATAATAATTATACAAAAAATATATACATACAATAATTTTAATGTCAGTTTCTACTTATTAATAATAATAATAAACGTTAATTGATATTAACAAATAAAACAATGAAATTTAATTTTTATTACCGCTAATTTAAAAGAAATATATCTTGCAAATCATAGTAATAAAACTGTTCAAAATATTTATTATAAAATGTAATAGATTAAGATAATATTAATATATAATTGATAATTTTTTGTCTTAATATATATTAATAAATAATAATAATTAAAAATATTTTTATTTTATGAAATATATATTAGATATGACTATATCGTATTTTGTAATAATGATATTTTAAATAATAATATAGAGATTAAAGTTATATTTAAGAAATTATTTAAATGTAGTTAAATTTTAAAATTATATTAAAATATTTTTATATTTTAAATTATTAAAAATATCATTCTACCATATTAGTATTACATTATCAAGATAAAAATTATACTTAAAATAATTGTTGATTTATTAATAATGTTTCCACAGACAAGCACATCAAATTAGGTGTCCAAACGCGCGCATTGCCGCAGGAGAAGGGAAGTTTATGTGAGGCTAAGTCAATACCAAATCAATACTCCGTCCAATGAAATAGAAATGAATAAATAATTATAATTTATTATTATTATTCCATCTTAATTACATACTTTATATTAATCTCAAATATATAAAAGAAAAAAAATCTCAACCACGAGCTTCTCAAATGTTTTAACTTTTAGCTCTTGTTATATAGAAATAGATTGTTGTTCACGTTGATTAGTATTACTATTGGTATGCTTTGAAATATGAACCTTTCGCATCATTTAGAAGTTGACTAATTGAAATTGTTGTTGGGCCATAAATTCTATGTTGCCAGTTTTGTGCACAACATAAGTATAATAATGTGTGGTGCACCATGTTCTCTTCGGCTAACTTTGCCTCTAGGGTTCAACCATTAATTTTGGATTTGGGTGTGCTAATTGGTGCTCACCTAATCATGATATATTTATTAGTTTATTTATTTCACTCATTTTTTTTTGTAATGATTTGTATCTCAATTCAATTTATGGAAAACCTTTTTCATTGTCCAATTCCAATTAAAAATAGTAATTTTTTAAAACTTATAAAAGGGCTACATAATAAGTTTAGAAAAATAATAATAATAATATAAAATAGATTATTCTCCTCAATAAGAGATCTCCACCTATGTTGTACATTACACTATATGTGTTCTTTTCTCTGTATTTTCATATGCTTCAAAGTCAAGGCTTTGATTAAAAAACCATGCCTTTGATAATTTCTACATTTCACGTGATAACATGCATTGTGTTGTGATATGCATTTCCCTCACGTGCCCTATTATGCTTTTATTTATTCCCTTATAATTTAATTTTTATTTAAAAATAAAAAAAATTATCTCATCACTACTACTTGACAATATTTATCCATTAATAAATAATGTTTTGTAAAATTCTTTTCAAACACACTCAAAGGAACAATTCAACCCTTTTGATGGTTTCCTGGACTAAAATCCAAGTCCAAACGTTGAAATCGATGTAAAATAAAACAATAACTTCAATCAAACAAAGGAAATGCATGAAATTAGTAACGTAGCACATAAATCAAACTTTATAAAAGAAGAAATAATCGTGACCTAAAGAAATGGTATGATACGTCGTTTTTGTTTCTTAAATTTTCTTTGGTTGTTGGATTCTCATTCAAGAAGGAAAGTATGGTAATCATGCCATGTGGCAAGAGATGGGAAAATGTTGAAGTCAAGAAAATAAATTAAATAATGAAGATATCAATAACATGAATTTAATTTATGCAAAATTAATATTTTATTGATGATAAAAAAACTCATCATTTAATTTTTATTTTAATTCATAGAATATTATTTGAACATAAACTAGTTATCTTATAATAAAATAAAATAAACCTTCATTAACAACCAAGTAAAAAAAATTTGGCAGTGAAAAGAATAGGATCTCCATGGAGAGAAATTGGAATGGTAGATTGGTGTGAATAAATTCTCTTATTCTTAAGTATGATTTTCAAACCTTTAGATACTTATCTTTGACATTGTCCCATGATGTAAATTTCACATCCAAAGATATCGCGATCTCTCTTACCTTTGAAACGTCGTTATTTATAGGGCACATGTTTTGGGTCTCCTCTCCATTGCCATTAATTCATTGCCCTATCCAATCCAACTACTTACGTGTGTCTCATAAGAAAAAGGTCACACATCAACCGTATGAAAAGGGAAGTGTCATTTGGTCCCTATTAATTTCCAACTACCACGAATGGATCACCCTACCCAAATCACATGCCCATTTCTCTTTTTTTGTACTTCCAAATGATGGTGCCTTTTGTTGTGTTGTGCTCTTGTTAATCACATGAACGTATTAATGTCATGTTTGTATTCAGTGGATCTTTAATTGGGTTAGACATGGTTTCCTTTGTTATCGATGCATATTCATTTTGTTGCTTTGTTAAAAGAAAAAACTAGGTGTGATTCTTTCAAGTTTTAAAATCATTATGGTGTAATGAAAATATATGAATTTACTTTTCATAACATGTCAATATAAGATACGTATGATTTTTTTAAATAATTTTTTTATATTAATTTTATGTTAAAAACTAGAAAAATTATTCAAAATTTAAAATGATCATATTTGATTTGTGAGTTAAATTTTTCTTTTTAACATTATGTACGGTTAAAAAAAAATAAGATTTGACATATTGCAATCTAAAATAATTAAATTTGAACAAAATATATAAATATTGATAAAATTTTCTTCCATTTTCGAATTAATAAAATTTTTGACATTTAAGTATTTCATATTATGACATAAAACTCGAGGTTTTTTTTATAAATAATAATAATATATTATTTTAGTGTAATAATTTTTTTCCTTTAAAAGAAACATAATCTTTTATTTCATGTATGCTAATATCTTTATTATTAAAATTCATCTCATTCAATATTTATAATTTTGCATTAGTTTAATATTTCAACCTATAAGAATTAGACTTTTATTATCATTTCAATTAAAAAGATAATTTTATCTCTATATTATATTTTCAATATGATAAATTTTTTTGGTCGAAAAAGAAGTTAACTTTATATATATATATATATATATATATATATATATATATATATATATATATATATATATATATATATATATAAGGATAAGTATTTTAATAAAAAATAATATTAAATATTTTAAAGGTGGTTGTAATGGTGGGGTAACATTTTACAAATTATATAACACAAGTATATTATCTAAATAGAGTAAACTATAATTATTCAAAGAATATATTTGAAACTTAATGGATAACTTAGTCTGGGATATAAGATTGTATCATGGATTGTTTATGTTTTACATTAAATTTTGTTCGAATGTTTTAAAATGAGTAATTACCAAAGTACATTAGTGTCATTAATTTCGGACACCTACGTGAAAAATATTGAGATCTTTTTTGGAAAATCTAATTTGGATAAGATAAAAAAAAATTGTTAAAAAACAAACGATTTTTTTTTAATTATTGATTTAACATTATAAATTATATGTTTCAAAATATTGTTATATACAAGTTTTCATAGAGTAATGTGTACAATAATTTATACACAGTTAGAATGGGTGAAGAGTTTTTGGGTAAGATATCACATAAAGTTAAATTTTTTTGTTGTTGATGAAACTAACCGTGTTGTTCATTGCACTTGAGTAAAAAATAGAATTATCAAAGTAGATTGTGGTAATGTTAAAAAAATATGTAAATAATTGTTTTTTATACTTAAAATATGTCTTATATAATTATGTTATACTATATTTTTTAACGTATTTGGAGTGACTAAGTGAAACATGCTCAAGGGTTATCTTTGTATTAGTTTTTCATTTGTAGGCTGGATACAATGATAAAAAGAAAAAAAAATGTATTATTAAGTTGTAAAAGTGATGGTAAACATAAATGATATAAGAAGGATTTATAGACAACTATTAGTGAAACTTGAAAATGTAATCCAAGAAAAACTAGTGAATAATGATAAAAAAGTGGATTGTGAAATTAGTTGGTAAATGTTATAATTATGAACATAT